CTGAGCTGGTGGTAGGGTGCAGAAGCAGAGTGGGGTGCAGGGTCTGGGTGTGAGGGGGGCTGCAGCTAGCTAGCCAAGTGCTGTGGGGGGAGTCCTGAGCCTCAGGGGCCAGATCCAGACAAGCCAGGGGCCAGATCCACCCCCCAGCCCATAAGTCTCCCACCCCTACTCTAAGCAGAAGGCTTAGAAGCAAGTAAGAGTAAATCTCAGCTGGGTTTGTTTTGAAGCAGCAGCTTCATGGGGCCAGCAGAGGCTGAGGGGACTAGCGGTCTCACCTTGCTAAGCATGACGCTGTCACTCCCCAAAGTGCCTCCTCATGGACTTGCCTGAGTCATTTGTCAGTGCCAAGCCACAACTGACATCTCCATCCAATTACTTAAGGCCTCCTTAGTAGCCACATTGCTGGGCAGAGTCACTGAAAAGTGGATTCTTCCCATTTATTTCACGGGGAGAGACAATCATGCGTTTTCCCTTTGGCCTTCAGCTCCCACACCACCTTCAAAGGGCCCGCACACTGTCAACTCTGCCGGATCTCATTAGGAGATACTTGCTCACATGGCACAAAGAGAATCAGTGGAACTCCCTGCTGCAGGCAATCAGGAAGTCAGATAAGGCGGTTGGATTTGAAAAGAGGGTCGACAGTTTGATGACCAATGCAGGCTACGCTGAGAGAATCCACTCTCACAGTCAAAGGCAAGAGTCGATTGCCATGAGGGTCCAGCAGGCATTTCTGCCTTGTGCACAGAATAGGCCAGCTGCATTTGGGGAAATTTTTAAAATCTTCATCGGAGGGCCCACTTCATCATTGCTCTGCTTTTCCTGCTGGCTTTTATACCAGTGCAAAGTCGGTGCAAAACTCCCGCTCACTTTGCACTGCTATAATGAGTGCCCAAGATGCAGTTTCGGCAGAAAATGATGTTGAATCTATTATCGTTAGGCGTGACGGGCATGATCCTTCCTTGGTCTGTGTGCATGGGACACACTGCAGGGGTCAGGTGCCTTTTGGAACTGTAGGGCTTAGCTTAAGGCAGCAGTTTTCAAATGCTTTTTCTCATGACCCAGTTGAAGAAAATTGTTGATGCTGCGACCGGGGGTGCTAAGGCAGCTTCCTGCCTCTCCTGGTACCGCAGACCATGCTGCGCCAGAAGCAGCCGGCAGCAGGATCCTGCCAGTGGGAGTGCGGAGCTAGCGCTCGGGGCAGGGGCAGTGGATGGAGCCCTGTGCGCTCTTCCCCCCACCTAGGAGCCGGGCCGGCTGCCAGCTGCTTCTAGGGCACAGCACAGTCAGCGGTGCCAGGACAGGCAGGGAGCTACTGTAGCCCTCCCACTGCTCACCTGATCCCCTGCAGCCACGAGACCCAGTGCCCGACATCCCACCCCCCTAGTCTGAAACCCACTGGCTTAGTGGGCCATTCAAATCCATTGATGGACCCACCCTCTATGAATGTACCTAGCTCTTCATAATATCCTCTGGCAGGGAGTTCCACAGGTTGACAGCGCGTTTTGCTTGTTTTAAACCTGCTACCTCTTAATGTTGTTTGGTGATGCCTAGTTCTTGTGTTATGGGAAGGAGTAAATAACTTTTCCTTATTTACTTTCTCCACACCAGTCATGATTTTAGAGACCTCCCGCCTATCCCTCCCTTTTCCAAGCTGACAAGCCCCACTCTTCTTTCTCTC